GGAACTAGGAGTTAAGTTACTTTGCTCAGGAAATTTACTTAAAGAATTTCCAATATTTTCCTTTTTTTGTCCTGAAACTGCTTTTATCACAACTGAGTGAACAAACCATGACGGTAGACACTGGATGGTTGGATCGAACCAGTTCTGATGAAGCTAGAAAGTTTAATTATCTGCACTTCTACTATAAGATTAGTTCATTTTCTCTTACACTATACACTGTAAATTTTCGAGAAACCATTAATTTAGGAGTGAAGGCACAATCTGCATTACTTGTTTGAGACCGGAGGGGAAAATGGTTGGAAATGCTTCTTACTGCATGGACGTAATTTGAACGGAAGAAGCAGACTGTTTTGTCACTTAACAATAATTCTGCTTCGGTTAAATCGTGTAGGAGTTTATAGGTACAAGGTGTAATACAGTACACCCAGATTTTTAATGTGGGAACTGTGCCTTTTTGCTGGTTTTTATGTTTCTGTTCTATTAAAAAGGTATAAGGGAAAATGCAGCAGTTTGTATTTTTATGATCTTTGAAAAAGCTGATGGGCTTATCAGATTATTTTGTTCTGTTTTAATTATTATTATTATTTTTGCTTAAGCAAGCTTCAGCATAGTGCAGTTACAAGTCTACAGAAATGCAGGAGAGTATTCTGAAGTGCTAGTCTTTCCCTCGGTTTAAATTTCTGCAGTATCTAGAATGGTAGACTCCCAGAAGATGGAGAAACTGCATTAACATATATAACTGGGTTGTTTTTATTTCATGTTTAGCTTTAAAGGGAGCATTAGCTTTACAGATAAGGTACAGTATTGTCTCGTTTGAACTTTCATTCTCAGTATTACACAGAGGACACTCATCTGGGACAGGAGCTGAGAGCAGATGTATTTAGATATGATGTGAAGATGAAAGGGATTGAAGAGTAAAACAAATGAATGGTTGTGATTGACATGGACAGTTGCAGCATAGAAAGTTTAATTTTTTTTACAGATGAGTCATTTACACTGTGTGATATGGGTTTGCTTTATTTACAATTCTAATTAAGTGATCTAGGCTTTAATTTTTAAAAAGCAGGTTTTTTTTGTTTTGTTTTTTTACTTTTCTACACAAACATACCTGTCCTCTTCATTTCTCATCTTTGTCCTTGTTTGTATTATACCTGTACTGTACAGAATGTGTATAAATTATCTTGTCCCAAATAAATTTAAATGTGCACAATTGTCATATTTCTGTGTTGCACTGTCATATTTTATTGTTCAGTGTGTTAAAACCCTGCGACTCTTTGACATGAATTCAAATAAATCTATCACAAATACAAGAAGGGAAAAAGTACTTGAATTTATTTATATAGATTTCTTGGAGCGGGGCGGAAAAGTACAACAGCCATGAGTGAGGAACAGATGGAAACGGCAATGTTTCTCCCAGTGCATAACTCACCTTCTCCAAAGGTATCTGCCACTCAAACCAACGGGCTTTTCAGTATTTCTTTGGCAAAAATCGAGAGCCGGTCATCCTGCATTTGTTACTGTTTCAGAATGGTCATACAAAAATACTGGCAAATGTTTTTGCACAGCTTAAAAAGGCAAGTTGAAAAGGTAAGACATTGGCACTCGGAGCTACAGAACTAGAGGGGAGGGATCTGTCAATACAGCGGAAGAAATTCAAGTCAAGCTACCTGCTACATGATATAAGATTCATACAATATATGGCCTCTGCTTGCCATAGTTCATACACATCAGGCTTGGGCATTCGGCACAAATGTAATACATACCTTTTTAAGTATGACTTTTTTTTAAGTAAAGGATACATGAAGATAACACATTCCACATGTATGACTTGCTGGATCAAGTGAAAACAACTTGTTTTATTGGATTTCACTGCATTGGTGAAGAAACTCTAAAAATGACTAAGATGTTTGTTTTTAAATAAAAAACGCTGTAGATAATCACAAACAGAAAATCTTATTTTCTGTTCGTTTTGTCCAGGATGGACTGCATAAAGTGCACTATAAACTAAAGAATACAGTGGAGATGAGTCAGTGGTGGCAACGCTTTGATTCTTTAATCAATATGATCAGTATGATTTGGATTTATGGCACAAATTCAGTTTAACCACCTTCAGGATTGAACAGCATCAGCACCAGTCTGGACTGTTGTTGAGAGATCCATCACTGCTTCTTTTGCTAAAAAAAAATCAAGTTTTGCGTTCTGGTTCTAAGATCTGTAACGGTCTTCAGTGGCTTAAAATAACTTGGGTAAGGGAAAGCAGATGTGCAAAGGCAGCCGATGAGAGGAACGGAGGCTTATTTCACTTTTTTTTTTTAATCGTTTGTGTGCTATATGATAAAAGTACGGTAACATTAAATTTTAATTTCTGCTAACAACTTCATATCCTCAAATTTCCATCAAGTTACCGTTCTTGCACCTTTTTTTATTTTTGCATTTTCTTTATAAAGTAAAAAGTGTGCAAATCAGTCGGGGTATTTGACTACAGTATGAGGCACTGTCTCATAAAAGGGTCACCAAGTCAGATGTCCCCAAACGCTGATTGAAAATAAAACTCTGTAAATCAACTAAAATATAATCATGGGGTTTCTCTTGCGTTGATGAGGACAGAGACCTTCTCTTGCCTTGTTCACTGACTGCTCAGTCCTTCAGATCATCTTCTTCACAGTTTCCTGTTGGACACAATGGTTATTTATTAAAACGACTGCCAGAACTAAAAATAAAAAAAGATTTTAAATGGAAGTGGAAATGTAAAAAAAAAGGATTTAAAACCATGTCTATTTTAAGTGGCCATTTTTCAAACCAACACAAATGTATCAAAGGGGGCTTATGTTAGTGAGAGGTCCAAGCAGCATAAAGCAATGTTTAATACAGACCTGCAGCTGAGTTTATGTGGGTGTCAGACACGTGTGTGATAGAGAATCTCGAGACCATGAAACGGTTAAGTGGCACAGGGACAGGTTTAGGAGCGTCGTCAGTGTTGGAGACGGACGTGGGAGAGGACACGGGGTCAGGGTTGGTGTGAGGTGAGGATGGACAGGGCTCAAAGGAATCTTCCAAATCACAACTCGCACCTGAATGCATGCAGATAACCAAGGACACGGTGAGAAGTCCAGAATAAACGGGCGGGAATGTGGCATCATGTGTCCTCACCCTCTTCAGAGTCGTTTTCTGTTGTTTCCTCGGGAACAGAGTGAGGATCACAGGATGGAGCTTCAAGTTCTGCTTCTGGTTCTGGAGACTCCTGCTCACTGGGCTCTCTTTCTGCAGAGAGTGAGTTGTCAGCCAGCTCTCCAGTGGGGCTCTCCTGAAAGTCAGAAAAAAACAATTAATAATTTTATTTATTTATGAAAAATCCAAAATATTTGAAKAACTCTGACCCACCTGGTCAAACAGAAACACCGTCACGTCATCAAAAAAAGACACCGCTTTTTTCTTCGTCTCCAGCTCATCACAAAAGGACTGAGTGAGCAGGGTGGGCATCTTCAGGAGACCCCGGAGGTGTCTCGCCCTGCTGCAGTCGCTCACCACCACTGGCACCGCGGCGAAATCCTCCTCGCTCTCCTCGCTGTCTTCGTCCTGGACGTTGTAGGTTCTCAGCTCCTCGTCGGACTCGCTGTCGTCGGAGTCGTCTTCGTCCTCCGCCTCTTCCAGCGGAGCTCTGACGTCTTCGCCGCAGAGCTCCAGCAACGACGAGGAGGTGGAAAGCTCGTGGTGGCCGTTGGATTCCCCACACAGGCTGTCGCTTTCGTCTGCATCGATGTCCTCAAAGTCTTCCTCGTTGATTCTCACACATTCTGTTCCGTCTTCGGTCGTATTGTTAATGAGATTGTTTTCAGGCACCTCCTCCTTTTCGTCTGTTTCYTCGTTTTCAGTTTCTTCACAGGACTCATCCCTGCAGTCGTTCATGGTGCATCCAGACAGCAGTGAGTGGACAGAGTAGCAGCCTTCTGCTTCCTTGCTCCCCTCGTGATTCGTGGTAGCTTGGTGGACAGAAGAGCAAGGCTCTGACCCGGCGGAGGAGCTGAGCTCTGACGCGGGCTCGTCCGCCGAGTGCTCCGTCTCCAAACCGAGGTCCTCCTCCGCGGGGGCAGACTCTTTGGTCAGGCACCCACCCATCTGTGGAGGAAATGGTGACAGCATGGACAATCCAGGGGTGGAGAGAGCGCTGTGTGACTTAGAGTCAGCCTCTGAGAGACTCGCTAAAACACAACTGTTGATGTGCCTCAGATTTGTTAAGCGTTCCCCATTGGTGAACTGCCTTTCAACAGAGCTGTCTTCTGCAGAGCTAAAACCGTTAGCTGGGCGGTGAGAGTTCCCTGAACCTGCAAAGAACTTCTGGTTTTCCTCACTGGGACTCCTCTCATTTTCTGCGTCGTAATCAGAGAAATAAGCGGAGTCCCTGTATGGTTTCCTGTCAAACAGGCCCTTTACGTGTAGCTCTGAGGTGCTTGTGGAAGTGCAGACTCCTTGCCCAAAACTAACCTGCAGAGCAATTTCAGATTCTCCACCGAGCATCGGGCAGTTCTCGCCACCCAGGGGTTCTCCGAGTTCTTTGAAGATAAACTCGGGGGATTCGTTGTTTTCTGTGTCATAACCACTATCCAGGGATTTCGGCAGGATGGGGATATTGAAGGGGTCAGGACTAAAGCCCTGGTCACAAGAGCTTCCGACAGATGACACCAGGTTAATGGCACCCACAGAGTCAGGAGCCCTCTCTGGATGACTACTTGGGCTGAGCTCCTCCTCCTCCACCTCACTCAAGTCGAGGTTGAAATCGGCAAAGATCCCTGATGTAATATCTGTGATGTCATCATCATCATCTTCACTGTAGTCACCAAGGTCAACCAAGCAACTGCTGGTGCCCCTTACTCCCCTGTCCAGTGTTCTGCTGTCCTCAGATGTCTCTGCATATTTGAGTCTGACGTCAATCAAACCAAGACCTGTTCCAGCTGAAACGCCCTTTGAGATGTTTTTCTGGCTATCGGGCAAAGTTCCTGTTGGACCAGTTTGATACTCGTCCAAGCATGAGGACTTCATGTAGCTTACCTCAGGTGTCTCAGAATACGTCCCTTCTCTGTGAAGTAATGACTGCGATTCATGTTTCACTTCCGTTTGTCTACCCCTTGTTTCACTGGTATTTGTGTTTGAGCTGGGGTGAGAGTGAGTGCTTTGCAAGTTGTTGAAGTTTGTATGCATTTCCACTTGAACTGCGGTTTCTCTTTCTTTGTGGCATAAGTGAATATATGAGCCCAACCTAACGGGCTCCCAATCAGAACAACCTCCACTGCCCTCCAAACTGCCACGAGCTTTAGAGCTTTGGAAGGTTCTTGTCGTAGCCTTGGTTAAAGACCATAACTCTGTTGTGCTGGATGGAACATTCAGACAGCTCTCCTTCCCGCTGCTCGTCTGCCTGCTGTCAAAACTCGAGCTGTTATTATTTGCCGAGTGGTTCGAGATCCAGTTAGTGGCCTCTCCCTCAGAAAACAAGTCGACCTCTTCAGCTCCACTTCTCCTCTGACCCAACAGCAGGCCATCATCCGTTTCCATGTTTATGTCAATGTGATTAACAGCAGGAAGGGTCTTTTTTAGTGGGCCTTCCTGACTATGGAAGCTTTCATTAATTGTCCTTGTTTCAAGGTAAGGATCGCAGAACCCTAAACTAGGGCTGCTAACAGCTTGTGATAAACTCCGTGGGTTTTCTAAGTGAACCTCAGGATGCAGAAGGGTTGTTTGGGACTCGGGTGATGCTTCCAAATTAGACGAATAGGGCTTTTTATGTGTCTTGCGTACTGCTGTGTGTTCACAGTGGACTATTTTACTGCAGTCAGATGAGAGGGAACTGTATGAGTGGCCTAACTTTACAGAACTGTTGCTGGATGAACGGCGGAGCAGGGGCTGCAAGGTTTGCTGAGCAGTGGGACTTGAATCTGAGTCATTCGATGTCGTGTTGTCAGCAGTGGACCAGTAAGCACAAGGCTGCGCTTTGGAAGAACCAGTGTGATTCTCGGAAAACGATCTGATTCGAGTAGCTTCCAGTGCTGAGCTGTAGTCCACAACCCCATCTTCTAGTTTAATGTTGCACTGGACTGGCTCTTCTATTCGAATATAGTACTCACTGCTAACTGAGGGGCTGTGGGCACTCAGCACCGGGACAATGCCTCTGTGTTCAGGCTCATAATAGGATGGGGACACGCTTGATGTCAGGCTGTCAGTCTTGCAGCCCCCAGAGGAGCTTCCTGTGTTTGAATAATAGATATCCTGGTAGTGAGGGTTTTCCTGGCCCAATGTTCCACTGGTAGAGGACGAGCAGTAGGGCTGCTCGGCTCGGGCTTGTTCCCATTTGTATTCAAAGTTGAGACCGTGGCTCGTCTCAGTGACAGTGAGGAGGTCATCGCCTGTGTCGGAGTGAAAGCTGTCTGAGAAGTGCTCGAGGAGGGGGAAGGAGGATGAGGCAGAGGAGGCCAGCTCCACTGCCTGAGTTTGCTCCGCACTGGGGACGTCGGCACAGTTCGGCGTGGGGGTCAGGACCAAGGCTGTGGACGGAGCTGTGTGCGACGTGCTACCAAGCAAATTTGGTCTCAAGGAATTCCAGCGTTGCTCAAAGTCTTCCTCGGCTTCGCTGGAGCCTTTAGCACACAAGTATGTGACCAGAAGGTGCACTTCCTCACTACTGGGTCTGAGCTCTGACTGCAGCCAGCAGAACTGCATGACCTCATACCTGAAAAAAGTACCAAAAAATGTATTTTTAAATAGATAATTATTGATGTTTTTCAAAGTTGATTGAAGATAAACAGCAAAGCCATTTAAAAGGGGTTGTTAGGCAAAACTGATGTTTTTGAGATTGAGATCATGTTATAATGTCATTCCCTCATCAAAAACACACCCAGAGTGTTACTCATTCATGCATGTTTGAGAATTCCTTAAATCCCCTGTTGTAGCCATGTGGAACTGTCTAAACCAGGAACTGTCTAAACCAGGGGTGGGCAATCATGGTCCTGGAGGGCCGCAGCCCTACATGTTTTACGTTTTTCCCTGCTCTAAACACAGCGGATTCAGTCACTGAACTACCTCTTCCAAGTTCTACAGTATGGAAGACCAACACTGACATAATTAGAAATAAAAGCAGAAATA